GATCCACTTACTTAAAAATAGGCCAATGGGCTGAGCTCTCACAGTGAAAACCTCTCTTCTTGTGCCCCGTAAGGATGTCCCAGATGATTATGGCCTGAGGGTCATCCTGCGTGTCCATCAGGGGGCTAAAGGTCACCAGGTACCTAGAAGAGAGGGAGGCAACACTGCATGCTATCCTCCTCTCCCAGGAGGATCACAGTCTTGTCTGTGCAGCCAGAACAAGCAGTCAGAACCCATGGAACCAACTCTCTCCCCAAACACCGCACTCTCCCAGCCCCAGTCGGAGTGGGAAGCAGAAGCAGCGCTTGTTCATTCTTGGTGTCAACACACAGCAGGCATTCCAGTTTATCTAAGATCAGCACAGGAAAAATCACGCAGATCCTACACAAAAGCTGCTGAGTAATCTAGAGGGAGACGCAGTGTGGAATTCTATCTTTTTTTTTTTTTTTGAGACAAAATCTCACCCTGTTGCTCAGGCTGGGGTGTAATGGCATGATCTCGGCTCACTGCAACCTCTACTTCCTGGGTTCAAGCAAGTCTTGTGTCTTAGCCTCCTGAGTAGCTAGCATTATAGGTGCCCGCTACCATGCTCAGCTAATTTTTGTATTTTTAGTAGAGAAGGGGTTTCCCCATGTTGGCCATGCTGATCTTGAACTCCTGGCCTCAAGTAATCCACCAGCCTTGACCTCCCAAAGTGCTGGGATAACAAGCATGAGCCACCACACCCGACCTAAAGAGAATATTGTGATTCAGTTGGTCTGCGGTGTATCCTGAGACTCTGCATTTAAGTGCCAGGGGATGCTGTGCTGCTGCACTGCAAAGCTCTGGGCCACATGAAGAGTCGGTGACTCCAGGCCCTGTGTGCTGGGCTGTGCCGGAGGCAGGTCGGGGATTCCATGGGGAAGGGTGAGTGCCCAGCACTCCATGAGGGGCAGAGGAGCAGGAGACTGTAGGAGGTGCAGGGCGGTGCCCGGTGGGGTGGGGCGCAGTGAGAGGAAGCTCGTCATGTGCAGATGCTGCTGCTGTGCCCTGGTGGCACAGCCAAGGTGGCAGCTCCTCAGGAAAGCCTTCCCTACTCACTAGGCCTTGGCCTCCGTCTCTGGTGACAGGGCCCTGACTGTCACCCTCCTTACTCTGGAATTATCTTATGTGCCTCCTCCTTGCCAACTGTCCTGCGTCCCCTACAACATGGGTGCCCCTGCGGGCAGGTGGGCTCGGCTCTGCATCTGGGTGACCCCTGGCACCCGCTGTGTCTTAAGACCTCTGGGAGGATGTGTTTATTGTTAGTATGTTTTCAATACCTTTCTTCTTTTTTGACTCCCAGGTTGGCCCCTCACTATCGTTGTGAAGTAAACCTTACAGATTGTGGGTGTGCAGGGAGCACGCACAGCCCCACGCGGGCCTTCCCAGAGTGGCATTGGGTGGACAGTGGTGATGGGCTTCAGCGGCCCTGAGCTGGGCACGGGTTCTCTGGGACAGGGAAATGAGTGCTGTGGCCTCCTTGTTTGCAGAGGTGCCGCCCAGCCAGGTCCCCCAGGTTGTCTGCTGTGTGAGTTAGCCATTGTCCTGCCCTGGATGCGTGGTCCCCAGAGCTTATATCACCCCATATGTTTCCATGTGTTAACTTACAGTGATGCTTCTCAGTGTCCATCTGGCTTTTCACATTGGCTTGACCCGAGAACACCTGCGGTTTTCTGAGCTTTTCTAGGGAGTTAGGGTCCTCAGAAGGTTGGCTGTGGGGGATGATCAGGAGGAAGTGTGGCGGTTTGGTTGCATTGCATTTGGGCTCTGTGATGTCAGGCAGACCTGCACCTGCTGTCCTGGAAGCTGCTGGAGGGACCGCCTCCCCAGGTGGCTCCTTCCCGTGCCAAGCACTCCCCTTTCAAGCACATGGCCTGCCAGCAGGTACTGCCCAGCCCTCTGCAGAGCCTCCGTCTTTGTCCTTTTGGTTGGCCATTACCTTGCTGTTGTTTGAAGGTGGTGCCATTAGCAAACAGCCGGCACAGTAGCATGGGGATGGCTAGGGAGGGATGCCAAGAGCCACGTTTGGAGGGAAGGCCAAAGTGATGCCTGGTGGGACTTTGGGAGTGTGGGGCACAGGCACAGAGACTGCCAGGTGCCAGGCCTGAGAGTCCAGGCCCATCTTGGCTGGTGGGGGCTTTTGCTTCTGGAGCCT